AGCTCTTGTAGACCAGGCTGGTCTCGAACTCATAGAGATCCGCCTGCCTCTGCCTCCCAAGTGCTGGGATTAAAGGCGTGCACCACCACTGCAGTCAGTTTTTAATTAAGTTATTTCCTCCTTTCTGGCTGCATTTAAGCTCTTTCCATTTTTCTTCAGTTGTTTTACTGTGTGTCCCTATATACATTTTTCTTTTTTCACTTATTTTTTGCACATTTGGAGTTTGTGATTGCCATATTTGATAGCTTTGTTTCTTCTCTTCTGTACCGAGACTGAATGCAAGGCTTTGCACAGGCTGCTCCGGTGCTCCACCCTGAGCTCTGTCCCTGGCCCTTCACTTACCTTGTATTACTATATTTTAAGCTCTTTTTATTTATCCTTTGTGTCATGCATCTCGATTCCATTCATTTCCTGTCCCTTTGTAAACCCCCTTGCAACCCCCCCTCAATAAAATAAAATTTAAGAGAAAAAAGAAAAAAGAAAATCTCATCATGGAAGCTGCAGTGAGCCATGCGAGCCATGCAGTAAACCCGTTTATCCATATATCTTTATGTGCAAGAGCTCATTGCAGAGAGTCATTGGTCTGGGTGAGACCCCTGATTTCTATTACAGTATTGATGCTGAACCCTTACCGGGACTCCTCTTGGGTACCCTGCTGTTGCCCTGTATTGTGGAGATCCTGCAGCTTTGGGTCTGCAGGACTGATGTGTTCATGTGTTCCAGCAGATCTGGGGTGGACATTGGGGTGGGCCAGTTTATAATCCTGGTTCTGAGCCTGGGTAGTTACAGCATTGGCCAGCCTGCCAGCTCTTTCTTGTCCTCACCACCAGGGTGCGCTCTCCAGCATTGCCCTTGCTAGTTCACCCCTTGCAGCAGGGAGTAAGGGGTGAGGCTCCTGCTTTCACATCCTCAGGGTCTGCTCTCCCACACCCATACTTTCAGGGCCAGGTCTACCAGGTCCTTACCTCCCAGGTGAGGAGTAGGGGCCATTGTCCGAAGTGCTGCAGCTGGTGAGGGGCAGTGCTGCTCTTAGGATCTTGGGGCCAGCTCTCCCACCCACCTCAGGCATTGGGTGGGTGGGGCTAGATCTCCCCACTCATGTTTCCTGGGCTGGCTCACCTGTCACTCCCTCCACCCCAATAGGGTCAGCTCTACTGTGCTGCCCAGAAGAGGTGCAGGGCCTGCTTTCCTGAGTGTTGGAGCTGGTAAAGGGGAGGGTTGGCTCCCTCACCAGCTGGAGGCAGTAGGGGCAAGGAGGGAGGGCCTCTTTCCCTCACCCCCATCACCACACCACAGACGAGGGAGGAGGTACTAACTCTGCTGCTGTCTACAGGGTCAGCTCTACTGTGCTGCCCAGGCAAGGTGCAGGGCTCATTTTCCTTCTTTTTGTTTGTTTTGAGACAGAGTCTCTCTGTGTAGCCCTGGCTGTCCTGGAACTCACAGAGATCTACCTCCCTAGTGCTGGGATGAAAGGCATGTGCCACTACTCCCGATGCTTTTTTTCGAGATGGGATCTTTTTTTTTTTTTTTAATATTTATTTGTTTATTATGTATACAATATTCTGTCTGTGTGTATGCCTGAAGGCCAGAAGAGGGCGCCAGACCTCTTTACAGATGGTTGTGAGCCACCATGTGGTTGCTGGGAATTGAACTCAGGACCTTTGGAAGATCAGGCAATGCTCTTAACCGCTGAGCCATCTCTCCAGCTCCCTCGAGATGGGATCTTACTATGGATTCAAGACTGACCTTGCACTTTTGGTTCGTAACCCTTAGCATCCTTAGTCTTCTGAGTGTGTACCAGATCTGACTCCTTGCTGCTTTTGAGAAGTCCTTTTGATTGCTGCTGCTGCCCTGTGTTCTTCCTGAATGCATCCAGGATTTTTCTCTTCATCCTTGGTGTGGGGAGCAGTGAAGCATGGGTCTCCTTTTCCTTCATTGTGCTGGATACTCAGAACTTTTACTTTTTTGAGATAGGGTCTTCCTATGTAGCCAAGGCTGGCTTTGAACTTGTAGTCTTTCTGACAGACTTCCAAGTGCAGAGATTGCAGGAGTCCATTGCTTTACCCACTTTCAGGGGAGCCTTTTAATCAGGACACTTTCATGTTCTTTTCTGAGAAAAATTTGTATTTTTATTTCTTTTGGATTTAATTTTATAAACTGAACTCTAGTTCATTTGGGGGAGGTTCTGGAGGTGATACCAGTAACTGGTGCATAACAAGTATCATCAGAGAAATGCAATCAAAACAACTCTGAGATTCCATCTTAAACCTGTAAGAATGGCCAAGATCAAAAACACTGAAGACAGCTTATGCTGGAGAGGTTGTGGGGAAAAGGGAACACTTCTGCATTGCCTGTCGGAATGCAAGCTGGTACAACCCCTTTGGATTTCAGTGTGGCGATTTCTCAGAAAATTAGGAAACAACTTTCTTCAAGACCCAGCAATACCACTTTTGGGTACATATAAAGGATGCTCAATCGTGCCACAAGGTCATGTGCTCAACTATGTTCATAGCAGTATTGTTTGTCATAGCTAGAACCTAGAAACAACCTAAATGCCCCTTGACCAAAGAATGGATAAGGAAAATGTGGTACATTTACACAATGGAGTACTACACAGCTGAAAAATAATGACATCTTGAAGTTTGTGGGCAAATGGATGGATCTAGAAAATATCACATTGAGTGAGGTAACCCAGACCCATAAAGACAATTAACATATGTACTCACTCATAAGTGGTTTTTAAACATAAAGCAAAAAAAAAAAAAAAAAAAAACCCAGCCTACAAATCACAATCCCAGAGAACCTAGACAACCTACTCTGACAAAGCTACACTTTCTAATAGTGCCATTCACTCCCTATGAGCCTATGGGGGCCAACTCCATTCACATTACCACAAGGAGTGTACTACTAAACCTGGATTTTTAAGTGGAGGCTGGGGATCCTATCTGGGGTCCTTGTCCTTACGTGACAAGCACTTTACTGACTATGCCATATCTCAAGCCCTGATATTTAGTGTTTTATTAACTATTTTAATGTACAAAGCAAGAGGTTTTGTTATGTTGTCATATATTTGTTCCGTGTGGTCTTTAGCCATTCCACCACCCTCTCTTGCTCTCTTTCCAGCAGCAGCTGCTGTGGTTTTTCATGACATTTGTTCGGCTTTAGCTTTCACTCTCCCATCTGGATACTAAGCACACCTCATCCTCTGAATTCAGATTAGCATGGCAAGTTCAACGTAGTGTGGCCATAGATAAGCTGCTGTCTCTTTAACTCCTGTCTTTTCCCTTCATACAGAATAATCTTCAGGTATGTGCAGATTAAATTTCAGATCTATATTAGAACAGTTCATGATTGACATATGGACATGCTACCTACAGTAGTGTGGCTTCCCCACCTTCCCCACCAGAAGTCCTATCTATTATAGTAGATTTCATAAGACAGCATTTTGAGCTAATCTTGTGGGGTTGGGTTTCAATTCTATTAGAGGTTTGTCCCCTCTTCACCTTTGTACTTGGGATTGGACCTAGGGCCTTGTACATGCTGGGCAAGTACCTACCAGTGACCTACAGCGTCTTTTACTTTTAGTTTGTGATAGAATCTTACTAAGTTGCCCATGCTGATCTTGAGTTCAGTCTGGAGTCTAGATAGCCCTTGAGCTTGGGATCCTAATGCCTCTGCCATCCATGAAACTGCAATTATAGACCTTCTTTACCATGCCTTGCTTTATAGGCTGTTTATGAAAAGACCTTTGTAGTATATTTATGTCCATTTTGTGGCTTTTATAAAAAGAGCTACAGTGGCGTGCAATCAAAACCAATGAACTGGACCTTGTAGCCTGGGTTCTAAAACAGTGTTTTTAGAACCTGATCTGGTAAAACAGTGTTTTTGTTTTATTTATTTTACTATTTCTTAAGTTATACATTAATTTTTGTGCATATGAATATTTTGCCTGTATGCGTGCCACCTGCATGCCTGGTGCCTGAGAAGACAAGAAAAAGGTCCTGGATCCCCGAAGGTGGAGTTCTAGACAAGTGCGTGTGAGCTGCTGTGGGTGCTGGGGTGGGGCACGGGTGCTCCGGCAGAGCAGCCAGTGCCTTAATCGTAGAGCCGGCTCTGTAGTCCCAACGCTTTCTGTTATTTGTCTATCTGCTGGTTTAGTTATTTGTTTTGTTTTCCTTGTCTGTTTTATTCATGTTTTTATTTTTTGTGTGTGGTGCTAAGGTTTGAACATAGAGCTTTTAATATGCTAGATAAGTGTTCTCCCACTAGGCTGTATTTCTACCCCCACCCTGTTGTTTTAGTAAGTATGATGTAATTAATCTATAATTTTATAATTTGATTAACATGTCAGTTTTCTCTAAGTCTATTGCTTATATATATTCTAGCTGAAATGTATTATTTTATTGAATTACTTTAAATGACTAATGTTTATCTAAATATTATTCTTTGTAGTATATTGCTGTGTTTTATATGATGTAGATAATAAAAATTCAATATCATCTATTTTATTTAATTTTGAAGAGTTTTTTTAACTCATGTGCCTATGTGTGTGTGCATGCCCATGGAAGTCAGAAGAGGGCATCAAATCCCCTGGAACTAGAGTTACAGATGGTTGTGAGCCACCACATAGGTGCTGGGAACTGAACCCAGGTCCTCTGCAAGAGCAGCAAGTGCCTTGAGCCATCTCTCTGGCTCCAATTAAGACATTCTTAAACAGGATGTTACTTTACTTAGTTAAATCTTTTTATAATTGTTCCCTGGTTTTATTTTACATATTGCGCATTTCTTCTTTAAAAGTTTTCAGTTGTGGGACTGAGGATGTAGCTCAGTGGCAGAGCACTGACCTAGCACACACCCCCTCACTTCAGTCCTCAGAACTGCAAGGGTAAAAATGAGAGAAAAATGAAAAAGCAAGCACAACCACTATGTAATTTGGTATTGTTAGTTAAGATGAACTGGTATGTTCTTTCTTTTCACTTGAGTATCATGTTTCTTTCCAGAGTGAAAAGCTTTTGTTATATGATACAGTCCAGAGTGAGCTTGAGGAGAAGATAAGAAGGCTTGAGGAGGACAGGCACAGCATCGACATTACCTCAGGTCAGGGCCGCGGTGTGATGGTGTCCCGTACAGCCTCAGTCTTGTGTTAATGCTGTCCGTGTGAATACAGTGTCCCAGCCAGAGGGAGCAGGGAGGAGCCTTCTAAAGAATGATCAGGTTGAGGTTGTCTAGGAAGATGTACAAAGTACAGCATAGGAAAAGGGACAGAAGTTTGACAGGAGCTGCCATGAGCCAGACTGGAAGACAGCCCCGTGCTCTTCCAGGCGCGTGGATAGATGTTACAGGGTGACAGGTTTTTGCCTTGGAGAAAGGAAACACTACCCTGATGATCAGATCAGGTCAGTATGAAATGTGTCCACTTAAGGACGGCAGTAGAGAAGTTTTCTCTTGCACACTAACAGACATTTTACTAGGTTGGCCCACAGTCCTTGAGTATGTATTGTCTTTATGGTTTGCATTTTGCTTCTCTGCTATAGTTGGGGCAATTTGATGAGATCAGTGCGGGAGTTTTCTTGCTTGTGAGTTGGGTGTCTGTGGACAGTTGCTTAGTTTTTTCTAAATGGATGTCCTTGTCTGAAAAAGAATGGCCACCTCAGGGCTGGCGAGATGGCTCAGTGGGTGAAGGAGCTTGCCCCCAAGGCTGGCAAACTGAATTTGGTCCCCAGCATCCATGTGGTAGAAAGAGAGAACTCACTCTCACAAGTTCCCTCTGACCTCCACATGTGTGCTGTGGTGTGCAAGTGTGCGTACACACAACACACACGTAATGAGTAAATAAATAAATGTAAAAACTGAAAACAAACTCCCTCTGTATAGTTTCCTTGGAGCTTTGTATGTAAGTAAGCAGTAAACGTGAAATTCTGTACTGCACTTTCTTCCTGTGGCCCCGGAAGTCAGCTGTTGTTGTGATTTGCTTGCAGAGCTGTGGAATGATGAGCTTCAGTCACGGAAGAAGAGGAAGGACCCTTTCAGCCCCGACAAAAAGAAGCCTGTTGTTGTTTCAGATATCCTTTCCCACGCTGTCTGCTTTCCACACTGCCTGCCTTCCTTCCTTCTTCACACTCTGGTCTTACTGGACTGTTTCCTAACACCACAGTGACTCACAAAATGACTGAAGCCAGAGATAGACTGCTGCCCTAGAGGGGAGGGAGAGGAATGCCAGTCCTCACCTCAGCTTGGAAACTGATAGTGTCCCGCCCACAGGACTGGGGAGACAGCCGTCTATAGTACAGTGTGATTAGTTTTTACGGGCGCTTTTTGTTGTTTTTGAGACAAGGTCTTGTATGTAGCCCAGGCTGGCCTTGAACCCATAGTCCTCTTGTGTCAGTTCATTGCTGGAATCACAGATGCGTGCACCACATTGGGCTCCAAAGTGTATAATTTGCTCAGTGCTGAGTTGACCTTGACCTTTCAACGTCCATATATAGTTTATATGCTTCAGGATCTTGATATCCTTGAAGACTGGACAACAATTAGAAAGGTATGATTAACAAATGATACAGCAGAAGTATATTCTTATAGTCAACCTTTAGGAGTTTGTTCATCAGTATATAAAAATATAATTGTTGTAAATATACTTTGCAGTGGACTGTAGAATATTTTAAGAATTATACATGTTTGTAATTTGTATTTTTTCCTGTAATAAAGCCATTAATAGTTTATAAAAGAATATGGAATTGAATATGTTTAATTTTCTCTAGAGTATTTGGACTCAGAGCTTTGCTGTTTCTGCTCTATAGAAAGTACCCAGTAAATATTTGCTAATGAATACATTGAGATTTAAGTGTCTTATATTCTATTAATAACTATCGAGGCAAAATGGACTCAGATGCTTGTTTAAGAACAAAGCTGTGTATCTTCCCATCTTTTTACTTTTTATTTATTTCTATTACCATTTTTACTTTTTATTTTTCTCAGACTGCTCTAAAATTCACTTTGTAGCCCCAAAGACTTTGAACTTGTGAAACTCCTGCCTTGGTCTTTTTGGGATCTGGATTACAAGCTTGTGCCAACAGGCCTGGCTTGACACTTGTTTTCCTTATTAAAAATTTTCATTTTTATAAGTTATCCAAAGAAAAGATTTCAGCTGTTAATAATGCCTATGTGAGAAGGTGTTTTCTATGACTTAAGACATTGTTGGTCTGGAGGCTGGGCATACCCTCAGTTCTAGAGTGCCTGCCTAGTTAGTTAATGTGCCTGCCTAGATAGTGTGTCTGCTTAGTTAGTTAGTGTGCCTGCCTAGTGTGCCTGCCGGGTTAGTGTGCCTGCCTAGATAGTGTGCCTGCCTAGATAGTGTGCCTGCCTAGATAGTGTGCCTGCTTAGTAAGTTAGTGTGCCTGCCTAGCGTGCCTGCTTAGTTAGATAGTGTGCCAGATGCATTGGGTTCTTTCCCCAGCACCAGAAGAAAATGAGAGCAGCTAATGTTGATATTTTATTCCATTATTGAACCAATGAAGAAAATTGTATATGTTACAGATAACAAAATGCATTTCAGTCTGAACTCAGATTTCTCCCCTCTCTCCCTCTTTTTTCTAAGGCAATGGCTACTTTGGGTCCACACCGAGTTAAAACAGAACGTAAGTCATGAGTTGTGACATCCTGTCTGTGGAGAGCTGTTGAATCAGAGTGGTTAAATGCCCTGTGTTGTTGAGGAACTACATATCACTGGTTCCATTAGTCAGCAAACTCTAACTGATATTACAAGGAACTCAGGAATCTCCTGCTTCATGTAAAAGCTTCATATGTATCTCTTCGATTTCTTCTTTCTTGTTAAGCTGAATCATTCTTAACTACTGATTTTAGTTCTATAATTCAAGATGCATTTACCCAGTGTGTTTTTTGTTTTTTGTTTGTTTTTAATTGGCCCATTATTTCTTTAGGTGAAGTGTTGAGAACTCATGAATTTGTAGCACAAATAATAAAAACCCAGAGTCAGAAATTTGGTTCAACCCCAAAACCAGAAAAACCAGAAAAGCAAAGCAGCCAAGCCACTAGAGAAGTCTTAATTCTACGAAGGCTGGGTGACACCAAGCCACTAAGCCTCTCTCTCCTCGCATTTCATATTCCCTCTAGTTCTGGGATTAAAGGCATATGACTTCCTAGTACTGGGATCAACACTAGCCACCACCACCTGGATTTGTTTCTGCATTAATCTCCAAGGCCCAGGGTGGCCTTGAACTCACAGAGATCCACCTGACTCTCAAATCCTGGGATGTGTATGCCACCATTGCCTGATCTCTAGTGGCTTTAGCTTTGCCTCTGGTCTTCAGGCAAGATTTATTTATCAAAATACAAATAATATATCACTACGTGAATTGTTTTCAGGGAGTCCAGACTCTGGGGGTTGTGTATTAAATTTCTTAGGAGTTCTTTTGCCCGTGAGCAGAGATTAGGGTTCTGACAGTGGAACACTGAGATTATCTACCAATGAGATTGACCTGTTGTGTTTTAAGACAGGATTTTGCTAAGTAGCCTTGACTGGCCTGGAAATTAGGATCTATTTGCCTCTCTCTCCTGAGTGGCAAATTATATATATATATATATATGTATGTATATATATATACATATATATATATATATAAAAGATATTTTAAACTCTGAGGCAGCTGCCAAAATTGTGATGAATATTGGTGTCTGTTTTTGCTTTTTTTTTTTTTGTAGAGTTTTGTAATTCCTTAAGTTAGCTTTTAAAAAAACATGTTTTAAATAGTGAGGAAAGGGGGCTGGAGAGATGGCTCAGTGGTTAAGAGCATTGCCTGCTCTTCCAGAGGTTCAATTCCCAGCAACCACATGGTGGCTCACAACCATCTGTAATAGGGTCTGGTGCCCTCTTCTGGCCTGCAGGCATACAGACAGAACATTGTATACATAATAAAAAAATAGTGAGGAAAGAATTTCTTGCTTCATTTCAAAAGTTTCTTTAAGAGGTATTTATCTTTAAGAAAAGTTTCATTTTTTTCTTTTAATGGTTCCTTTAAACTTAACTTCATATCAATAAATTTCAGCAGTATTGTACCTATGTACTACCCTTGTCTGGCAGGGACTGATGCCTGAATCTCTAGAATGATTTTGGGTCTTTGATTTTTCTTGGTGTGTGTGTGCGTGTGTGATATGCATGTTCACTTGTGTGGACATGTATGTGTATATGTGGAGGCTAGAGATTTATCCTCCATGGCTCTTCATTTATTTTTATTGATATAAGATTTCTTGTTGAATAGAGCTAGCAAGTCTAGCTGTCCTGAATACTCTGAGGATCCCCCGTTTCTGCTCCCTCGTGCTGGGATTCTAGGTGGATGCTGTGCCTGCCTGGCTTTTATGTGGATTCTTGTTTTCACACTTGTGTAGCAAGTGAGCTGTCTCCTCAGCCCCTCATGGATTAGAGTCCCACCACACCATCGAATGACTCTCTTCTAACTTGTCTTTAGCTTAATCTTCTACTACTTTTATTCATAACATTTACCTCTGTTTGTACCTTTAAGAACAATACACTTCTCAGTTCTTTTTAAAGAAAATTTATTGTTGTGCATCTGGGGCATGTGTGATTACATGCATTCCATGCACACATGTGGAGATCAGAGGACAACTTTTAGGAGTTGGTTCCTTCCTTCCACTGGGGGTTTTGGGAATCAAACACCAAACTCAGATTATCAGGCTTGCATAGCATGTATGTTTACCTACTGAGCCATCACACTGGCCCCATTGGTACTTTTAAATTAATTGCCTTGTTTATCTGCCCCCTGACTGGAGTGTATGCTTTACAAAGGCTGGCAACATATCTTTTTGCTTGTTTTTTCTTCAGCACACAGCACAGTGTGCTGTGTATAGGATGGGCTCAGATGTGTAATGAACGATTGAATGACTAAAAACAGAAGCATATATGTTTATCACTACCTTCTGCATACCAGAGACTGTCTTAGGTTCTTGAAGAGACACGGGGAAGGAAAGATCTGGAGGCTCCTTTTAGTAAGCGAGTGAGTTAGCACCAGATGATGATAACCATACAGAGCCCGGGTGAGCTGCGGTGAAGACTTTCTCAGAGGTGGCCGCTGAATGTGAAGGTGCAGCTATTGCGTGGTGTGGTTTCGACTACGTTCCCCTGAGAGCGTGTTTTTTCCTGCAGTCGTTTATCTAGTAAAGCCAGACCATTTCTCAGGGTTGGAAATGGAAGTTCTGCTTAACGATAAAATAGTTCTGGGGACCTCTCATTATACATTAGATTTTGCTTTTTCCAAGTATGATATGCCTTGTAGGGAAGGAGATTTGAAAAGCAATTTTCAAAATTGGAAATAAGGCAATTCATGTTTTTCAGGAGCACTTAAAAGTGGTGCAGGTAGTTACTTAGCCTTTCAGTGCCTGCTCACTCTCCTGACTCTTCCTCACCGATCTTTGTTCATCTTAGACAGTGAACTCTAAAGTCAGAGAACTTCCTATGTAAGAATATTTCAGATGTTTTTTACACACACACATGTACCTGGATTGCCGTTGTCTTGTAAAGTTTTGGCAGTATCTTATTAACATAAGTTATTTAATGATCCCTTTAGCCTCCGTGAAACTGGAAAAACACCTGCACAGTGCTCGATCCGAAGAGGGAAGACTGTATTATGATGGCGAATGGTATATACGTGGACAAACAATATGTATTGATAAGAAAGATGAGTGTCCTACAAGGTAAGAAGCTTCCTGTCGCTTCAGTGTTCTTAGAATTGCTGCTTACGCCTGTTGGGACATTTGCAGCCCCTGTAGGATATTTGCCATGTCTCATTTGTTCCTCGGGATTCAGTTGTGTGTGCAGTTGGTAGTGTTCATACATGAGACTTCACGTGAGAGTTGAGCACAACATTAAAAAGTGCATGTGTTGGGGGTTACTCATCCACGAAGTGATCCTCTTTGTTAATTCTTACAGTATATTAGTTGTTACGATCCTAATATAATGACTTTCAAACCAGACTATTAAATTTTGGTGGGCCTATTAATTCTTAACTCTTTTGGTCCCATTTCCGTTTTCTGGATTAAAAAACCATATCAGCTGGCAATGCAGCTAAGTTTTTAGAGTGCTTGTTAGTGTACAGATAGTTCTGGCTCCAGTCCCCAGCACTACATGACCCAGGCAGGCAGAGAGCCTGTAATGTCAGCACTAGGGAGGTGGAGACAGGAAGATCAGGAGTTCAAGGGCAGTCTTAGCTGGGGTCTCTGCAGTGGCAGGGCCAGCAGAGGAACGGTTCACGCGAGGCAAGAAGTAAACCCAGTTCATCATAATGCAGTAGCCAGTGCTGGGCTCAACTTCGGAGTATGACCCTGGGAAGTTTAGTTTTGGGATATTTAAATACAGTACATTTGGAAAAACGTTTCCTGATGTATCAGAATCCTGTGTGCACTAAGAGTCATAATTACATGGAAACTTTTCTCAAAGTACATGTGACTTCTTCTGTGGAGGTGGGTTCTAAAGACAGGCTACATATGTAATCTTAAGGGCCTCGGGAGGATCTGGTGTGGTCTTGGTCATACAATAGCATAGATGTCATCTAGACTGTTACCCATCCTGGGTCCTGTGTGTGGGAGCCTGGGAGAGCTGGCTGTGCACATAACCCAAGGATCACCTCGTCTATTAGCCACCTCCATTCCCAGCCTTCTGGGTGGAAAACTGTGTGTTTAACATTCCTGGTTCCCCTAGACATTATCTGTGAGCACAAGGACCTTTGTGTTCCCAACACTTAGCTACTTTAGAGTTGGAGGGCAAGCTGGGGATACAGGAAAGAAATGGAAAATTAATGAAAACTTTAAGAATGCCTCGTGGGGCTGGGCAGATGGTTCAGCTGATGAGAGAGAGCAGCTCTCCTAGAGGACCCTTGGTTCCCAGCACTGCAGCTGTCGTCCACTCCAGCTCTCTCTTCTGGCCTCTGCGAGCACTGCACACAGCTTGTGCACCATGCAGCTAAAACAGTCACACACAAAAAGAAAAACAAAAGTGAAGTGAAGGCATAAGTCACGAACAAGGCCACACCAGTTTGGAGTTATGATTAATAGGGTGTTATTTATTTAAAGGGGAAAACTTACAGATCACCGTCTCAGACAACAGCCATCTGCACAATCAGGAAGGGAGTCTAGTCTCCTGCGGAGCAGGAAGTGAAGAGAGCGAGCAGAGGAAATAGCCGCCTTTTTAAAGGGAGAGAGGCCACGCCCCAATGGGCTGGTATCACAGCAGCTATTGGTTGGAGGGGCGGAAGGACCTCCCGCAACAGTGAAGCATTACAAAGAGTACTTTTAACTAAAATAGAACTTGAAAACTAAAAATTAGTCTTAAGTGTTAATTTAGATTTAATGTTTATATTAATTATTCATACAGCCTATAAGTTATCTTGCTGTGGTCTTTTTGAAAATATTGATGAGTTATTGCTTTCATCCTTTAGGGTTAAATTCCCAAAGTATCATCTTTCTAAGTAAGAAACAGTCTTTTCTACATAAGAACATTTGAGTTTAGTGTGATTTATTATTTTGAAAGTTTAATTAGATTATGATTTCATATGTAAATTTTTGGATTTCAAGATTATGCATAACAGCTTTTCTCATAGAAGTTTGTTTATCATAGTACCAATTTCATTTGATGCCCCAGGATTCTCTTGTTTTATTGGTTTTGAGACATTTTGCTACTACTTAGCATTAAAGTGATAAAAAAGAGATAGCAGTGAAAGTGATAAATCTTTTGAGGTAGATTTTGAATATCTTTTCTATGTGAAGATTAGTAGTGTTGAGAAGAGAATCAGTCCAACAGGTGATCTAACACTGGGAATTGACAGATTAGTATTTAAAAGACTCCCTGTTGATGTAGAAGAGGCTCTAATGCTACTGAATAAGATGAAGTGTGGATGGGGAAGGAATGATGTGTTTTAGAACAGCCAGTAACTCACTCAACGAGGGGATATGTGCCACAGGGCTTCTCCGCACCGTAGAGCTCACTTACACACCTATGTAGTAGAGGCCGGTCACATACTGCAGCCACTTGGTGCTACCAAGAGTTGTAAGATGTTTTACAGCAATGCTTCTTATTTATTTAAAAAAATAATTGGAAAAACATAAATGCTAAAATTATAACAAAAGAGTCTAGTACAACATAGGCCTGGGGATGTAGCTCAGTGGTTGGGAGCCTGGCATCCCTACACAATGTCCAGGTGTCAGTCTTCAGCTGGGGAAAGTGTTGATGTCGTCAGTACCTAGGCAGGTAGTAGCAAAGTGAATCATCTTTGCCAAGTGTCAGGCTCTGCTTTCGTGTGATTGACAGCACAGTAGGTTTCTGTGCAGCAGTATCAGCACACACGGAGAACGCATCGTGCTGTGGTGTTTGGCACTGCAGCCTAACTATGAGCTTTTAGCTTCAGTTTTAGCTCCGAGAGCCACTGCTGATCAAAATGTTCCATACTGCATGAGTTTATCGATTTCATGAGAAGGTAAGTTGTTGATGGTTACTGTGATATTTTCTACTCCATGCCCTGCTGACAGTGCAGTGTCTGTGTAAACGTCAGTTTTATACCCGAACCTCCTGAGCTTGTAAAGTATGGAACCTTGTTGTTAATCTAGTAATCTAATGGGATTAGTAGAGCCCAGAGGAGGCAGAAGAAACGCAAGCTCAGGGCCAGTCTGGGCTTTCTATGGCATGTCTTTAAAAAAAAGAGAAACCCCCATAATAATAAAATAAATGAAATGAAATGAACCACATTGTAATTCATTCACTTTTTTTTTCTTTTTTAGTGCTGTAATTACAACAATTAACCATGATGAAGTTTGGTTTAAGAGGCCTGATGGAAGCAAATCTAAGCTTTACATTTCACAGCTACAGAAAGGAAAATACTCAATTAAACATTCGTAATCACAATTTAAGTGTATCCAAATCTACCTTATTAGTGTTACCAAGTGTAATGTGCCACGGGAGCCAAGAAAATGTATTCAGCAGCTGAATCTCTTCATCGAGTCATGAGAGGATGTGTCTTTTAGGTAGAACTCTAAGTAGACCCATATTGTTAAGTCATTAAGAAAAATAGCGAAAAAATTTAGTCATGACCATTACATTTATTTGCCTCTTAGGTCCTGTGGCCAGCAGGTATTTCATTTTGTGTTTTAATTATGTGAATGTCTCATCTTTTAGTGCACTACAAACTACAGTCAAGCTGCAGTTTTAAAGTCTCCACGCCTTCGTCACTCATTGTGTTTGTAAATAAGACTGAGAAAATATTTCCTATACATGATTTGTATTAGCGCATTAGTTTAAATCAATTGAAATTTACACATATGTCTGTGAGTTGTATATATGGCATAGACATATAGACATATGACAGCTTGCATAGAACCGGCGGCCCCGCCGTCCAGTGTTATACTCCATGTTGAACTATTGGGTCTGAGAAGTAAAGAGAGCACTTTTACAGACTGGATCTCCTTCTCTTCTGCCTCATGGTGGTGGCCTCTTTTCCAGATCATATTAGAGGTGTATTGGTGGCATTGTGTCATGTGCTGCCATGCCGCTGCTGTGTTTATTGTGAGCTTTTGGAGGGCAGGTGCCCCCTGGTGTTGGGAATGCAGTGTCTGCGGCTGGCAGTATTGCGGTGCTTTCTGCACATGTCTGACCTGCTGAAGATTTTAGTAAGCATTTTCCGGAGGCAAAGCTAGATCCTTATTCTAATTTTATTGCTAGGATAGACATGAACACTTCCTTTGAATCTAGCTTTTTGAATCCCCATTAGCATTTTTAAAATCTCACATGTTTTTACATTTTAAGGCCATTTGGTGCAATTTAGAAAATGTTGGCCTCCCTTCCCTTAGCCACATTCATAATTAACTTTCAAAGCCTCTGGAACCAGGTAGAAAACTGAAGCCTGCAACTTGGCAGCACAGTTGGCTATAGTATGTGTTTAGGGTGCCACCAAACCAAGTGTTCTGGTGGTCTCATGCACTTTAATTTCTGTTACCGTGGTATTTAAGAGGACGAGGAAGATTCACTTGCTCACACTCAGCCAAGGAGTCTCTGCATGATTCCGTTAGTTCCTTATGAGTTTACCTCTGCAGGTATCCTGTGCAGGTCGCCACTTCACAGTTGCCAAATGTACCCGTTCGACTTCTGAAATCAGTATCAGCAGTGTTGTGCTGCTCTGCCCTGTTTCTCATCAACCTTAGCAGCTGGACTACTGTCGCAACGCAGGAGCATTTGACAGTACTTATATATGTATGTATATATGATGTTTGATAAACATTTTTAATGAGATTTGTATTTTTAAATTTAGTATGTAATAAAAAGAAGTGTTTGAGTGTCATTTGTGGTACTGTGTGTTATTCACTTATGCTTAGTTGTTTCTACCCTGTCCACTTCTGGGCAGACTTGAGCCAGTTGTCATCGGTAGATCCACAGCGGTGTGGAGGGGCTTGCGCTTGGCTACCCACACTTGCACCTCTGCGGGATATGCGTAGGTATTCAGGGCCTAAGTTATACTTAACTAAAATATGCACACAGGTGTGTTATACCTTAGCAAGTATACTCTGTATTTTGAAATTCTAACCAGAAAAAAAAAAGACTTGTTTCTCATGCTTACTGTGAAAACTTGAATTTCTGTATCATACTAAGATTATGGCAAGCACAGGCTGGTCAGCGATATGAGCACCATGAGATAGCTTATTGCAGGCAGTTTCCCATTAGTCTGTTAGTTATTAGAGACCATCGGGAACCCTGCGATGAGATGGGCCAGCTGCTGCCGCTGCGTGTTTATCATCAGTTCCTGCTGGCAGTTTCTGGACTTTCCTACCACAGCTCCTTGTTCACGGCAGCGAGCTCACCTTGCCCTGCCATCTCACACTTAGGACAAAAGACCCCAACCATTATCTAAGACGAAGTGGACCGAAAACGCGTGTCTCCTAAGGAAAGGGATTGAATAAGGGGTGAACGGGTACATTAGCTAGGATCGTTACAGTCTTGCCAAATTGGAATTTAAGCTAGTGAAAATTCAGAGATGTAAAATATGAAAATGCACTGGAAAGTTGAGAGGCAGAGAGGAGGCATGTCTCTTGTCTTCATGGATGGAGCTGCAGGGACCCATGGCTGGTGCACTGTGGCAAGTCCCCATTGTTACTGTGGGCCAGCATCTTGCCCTCCATAGCTTCCCACTTTATTTTTAAGATTTATTTTTGATAACACTCATTTGTGTGTGTGTGCTTGTGTGTCTGTGTGAGTGGATCTCACATGTATATGGGTGCTAGTCAGAGAATTGGTTCCTTTGGAGCTGGAGTTGTAGGCATTTGTGAGCCACCAGATGAGAGAGCGAGGAACCAAGCTTGGGTTCTCTGGAAGAGCAGCAAATGTTCTTAAACACCAATTCATCTCCTCCAGTCCCCTTCTAGGTTCTTTTTAGACCATGTATTTTATTACTCTGACCAATTTATTGGAATAGGGTGGAACCCGTGACTAATGGGTATACAGCGATTAAAAGAATCGTCATCTGAGTGCCTTTCATGTGTTATTTGTATTTATTGTAAAACCTGAAGTTCATTAATTTTTGCATGTTCAAAACAAAGATGAATAAAATGTCAGAATTCTAACTACATATTTGTCCTATGTTGGGAGTTTTTGACCTTATATTTTTCTCCAAACACGAAAGGTTAATACCATGAACGTTTTGAAACAGGCTCAAATAGCTTATCTTTCAGAAAAATATGTGTATGTTCTGCCACGGAAAGCTAAAAATTGTAAGTGTATAATTCTTTTCCCCCAAAATGGAAGCTTATGTTCTCTTTCAAGACACATTTGATTAAAAGCAAGCTGAGAGCGGTTAGAAGCTGTACCTTTTGAGTCTTCTTTCCTTTTCTGACTTTTCGTTGCTAAAATAGGCTCAGGTGGGTGACCTTGCTGGAAGGTAGCTGTAGTCCTCTGAAGAGAGGATTGCCTTCCTTCTGGTTTGGTAACCTTTTTTTACTAAAGGTTGTAAATCGTGTTCAACTGTGAGGAAGAATCATTAGTCAGACGCTCAGCCTTCTTCGCAGTGATGTTGAGAGATATTCTGCTTGGTTTGTTATTGGAGGGCTCTGCAGCCGGCGTCTATAGGAGCCCACGTGCTTGCACGTGGAAGTCAGATTTCAGTAAGTTATGTAAGTGTGTTAGTGGGTCATTTTACTCAAGTACCTCGAGCCCTTGAAATTATCCATGAACCCTAACCCTAGCAGTTTTGTATGTTTTGAGACAGGGTCTTATTATATAGTCCTAGCCTGGAATACTTTGTAGAGCAGGATGGCCTTGAACTCTCAGAGATCCACCTGCTTCTGCCTCCTGAGATTGAAAGTCTTTTATTTGAACCTTATACTCTGTGGTGTTAAATTATATCTTGTTAATATTTATGTATATAAAACAACAGTTACCCACTACACAAGAGGCACACACTTTAACCTTGCTCAGGCCCAGAGTTTCTGTTAAGAGTTTTGGCCTTCTACAGAGGGCAGCCCAGGGCTTAAACCGCTCATTTTTCCCTTTCTTGAGAGCTTTTGTTTTCTGTTTTGCTATGCATTGTCCAAGGGAACATTCAGTTGAGGTCATGGCCTGTGTTTAAGCCACTGAAGAGGGAAGTTGCTTGCTGGTCATTGCCTCCTTAACACCCTGATTCTCTGTAGCTTTTCTACCTCCATCCAAGGCTTAGAAGATTTTCTAGGATTCTGTCATATATGTCTTCAGCTAAGGAGGAGGGGACACAGAAGGTCTGGGTTTTACACTAAAGGAAGACTGTATTTTACTCTCAGCATCCTTTTCTTTTGCAAGTGCAATATGCCTTGGTAATTGCTGTGGTGTGGGTGTCTGCCAAGTCTATTGTGGTTGAGGGCTTGGTCCACAGAGTGGCACTGTTGGGATGTGGGGGGACCACTGGGAGTGAGTTCTCAGTGAGAGGTTGTCCTTAGCCCACTGGGGACGCACCCTTGGGAGTTAGTTCTCGTGGAAGTCCTTAAAGTTCTAGTGAGGGTTGTTCTGAAAGTCTGCCCAGGGCTTTGCTTAGCTGCTCTAGTTTGAGCCGTGAGCCCTTTCATCTGTCTCTCACAGTCATGAGCTGTTCCATATGCCCTTACCAGAGGCCAATCCAGTCCAACTGACTGGTTTTGGACTTTGAACCTCCAAAATTGGGACCTGATTAAAACTTTTTTTTTTCAGTACCCTGTGTTAGGTGTTTCACTATCACAGTAATGAAAACGTCACCAGTACAGTGGCCTCCATCATTCTCTGGAGATCCACCTTGTACTTTTTCATGACCACATAGTATTCATCGATTTATTTATTTATTTGTTTATTTGTTTGTTTGTTTGTTATGTATACAATATTCTGTCTGTGTGTATGCCCACAGGCCAGAGGAGGGCACCAGACCCCATTACAGATGGTTGTGAGCCACCATGTGGTTGCTGGGAACTGAACTCAGGACCCTTGGAAGAGCAGGCAATGCTCTTAACCTCTGAGCCATCTCTCCAGCCCCTATTCATCGTTTTTTGAAATAAAGTGGCCTGACAGTGTGGCATATACCACACCATATGACCAATATTTGAATTTTTCATTTCCTTCCACCTTCTCTCCCCTTTCTTAATCAAACAAGTCTGACATGAACACTCTTGCTCATAAACCTTTTAGTCTGTCAAGAGGACTGCTGTGGAGTAATGCTCTTGTACACTGAACAGATTTGACACTCATTGGTTAATAAAACGTTGATTAGCCAGTATCCAAACAGGAAGTATAGGCTGGGCAACCAGACAAGAGAATTCTGGGAAGTCATCATCCAGAAACAGAGGAAGCAAGATGAGAATGCCTTACTGAGAAACGGTACCAAGTCACATGGCTAAACATAGACAAGAATCTTGGGTTAATTTAAGTTGTAAGAGCTAGTTAGTAATAAGCCTGAGACAAACAGCTTATAATTAGTATACGCCTCTGTGTGTTTCTTTGGGACTGAGTGGCTGCAGGACTGGGTAGGATGGAAACTTCTCTCTACAGAGGACAGTTGTAGGTGTATCTAATATCCTAAGTAAAATTGCTGGATTCGATGGGGAATTTATATTTTACTAGATATTGCCAGTCTTTGCTATACCAGCTTGTAATCCAACTAACAATATTTTGGGATGCTTGTTTGTCCCAATCACAGAAACATGGGTAATTTTCAGTGTCTTCATTCAATGTCATTTTTCTTTGTTCACTTTAATCCCTTTGCTTCAATTAGGCAGCTAGACCCTCACTGTACTCCCTTTGAATTACCGCTCTCATTTCCTGGGCTTCAGTATCATCATTATCCTGAGCAATCTCAAATCAATTACTGTTTTCACTATGGTTTCATAGTCCATATTGGCAATTGGGCTATTCCATAGCTCATGTTCTTGGTACTGCATACACAAACACAAAGGGTCTGTCTTCTCCTTCCACCTTTCCCTGTGTCAGATGGACTCCATTTTTGTTTTCGTTCTTTCTTCACACCACCTTCCACACTTAGACTTTTGTAAAGAAGGCTGCGGTAGGTGACGTGACTCCTGGATTTTGGAACTAGACTATTTCTGATTGCGAATTCTTTCAGCCTGCTGACTATATGCCTGGAAATGTAACCTCTGAGGCCTCAGTTTCCCCATCTGAGAATTAAGTGATAATTTAGACTTCATAGGGTTGGAGTGAGCATTTAATAATATATGTAGGAGTATAGGAGAGTGCTTGTTACATAGTATAAAATGAAAAGTTATATGTATATGTATGTGTTTTAGCTTAATTTTTAATTGAAAATAATTTTCATACAATGTATTCTGACTCCCGCTTCTCTCAGATCTTTCCATACCCCACCCATAAAACTCTGTGTCCTCTTTCTCTCTTTAGGAAACAAACAGGCAAATGAAAAACAAGATAAAAGAAAAAAATACCAAAAAAAGTACAAGAAACACACATGCACACAAAAACAAAACACAAAATTGGAAACCATAACATACAAATAATGATTAAGATTAAATGGGGGGAGGTCCAAACCAAAATTTAAGAGAAAAATCTACAAAACTACCATTAAGTTTGTATTGTGTTGGCCACCTATTGCTGGACATGGGGCCTATTTAGTGTGGATTATATACCCACTGACACTTCTGTCTTAGGGTTTCTATGGCTGTGATGAAACAGCATGACCATGGCAACTCTTTTTTTAAATTTATTTATTTCTTTATTAATTAATTAAAGATTTCTGTCTCTTCCCCACCGCCGCCTCCCCTTTCCCCCCCTCTCCCCCAACCAAGTCCCCCTCCCTCGTCAGCCCAAAGGACAATCCAAACTGCCTAGGCTCCCACAAAGCCAATACGTGCAGTAGGATCAAAAACCCATTGCCATTGTTCTTGAGTTCTCAGTAGTCCTCATTGTCCGCTATGTTCAGCGAGACCGGTTTTATCCCAGGCTTTTTCAGACCCAGGCCAGCTGGCCTTGGTGAGTTCCCGATAGGACATCCCCATTGTCTCAGTGTGTGGGTGCCCCCCTCGCGGTCCTGAGTTCCTTGCTCGTGCTCTCTCTCCTTCTGCTCCTGATTTGGACCTTGAGATTTCAGTCCGGTGCTCCAATGTGGGTCTCTGTCTCTGTCTCCTTTCATCGCCTGATGAAGGTTAATATTCATGAGGATGCCTATATGTTTTTCTTTGGGTTCTCCTTCTTATTTAGCTTCTCTAAGATCACGAATTATAGGCTCATTGCCCTTTATTTATGGCTAGAAACCAAATATGAGTGAGTACATCCCATGTTCCTCTTTTTGGGTCTGGCTTACCTCACTCAGGATAGTGTTTTCTATTTCCATCCATTTGCATGGCAACTCTTATAAAGGAAAACAGTAGTAGGTTTCCATATGATTCCTCCTTCTGTTTCCTCCCTTACCCACCTCCTTCCTCCCTCTTCCTGTTTAATTCTCTTATTCCAGTTTCACCCCTGGTAAATATTCATTACTAAATATTCTATTTCCCCTCATGCTTAGTGCCTTACTCTATACCTAAATTTTGTGGTTATATGAATTGTAGCATGCCTATCAAAAACTTAAAAGCTAATGTACATATGTAATACATAAAAAATATACGTACACACAAAATTTGTTATTTTGGGTCCGGGTTACATCACTCAGGATGATTTTTTTTCTAGTTCCATCCATTTACCTATGACTTTCTTTTTTAATGGCTGAATAATATTCCGTTGTGTAAAACTACCACATTTTTATTATCCATGCATATATATGTTGATGGATGTCTAGGCTGTTTCCAATTTCTGGCTGTTAAGAATAGAGTAGCCATGAAAATGGATGAGCAAGTGTCTCTGCGGTAGACTATAGAGTCCTTTGGGCATATTCCCCATATATATTATGTAATTTATTATAATATAATTATATGTATCATATACTTATATGTTATATATCATAGTATATATTATATATATTACTGTACTCCACACATCTATGTAATTATTTTTACAGATTCTAATAAACATTTTCTGAAACTGCCCCCTTTCTCCTTTTCCTAATGTCCCCAGTTTGGCCATTGGTATATTTTACTGGAACTTTTTTTTTCTGTAGGAAATGTTAACAGT